TACACACCCACCTGTGCAGTCTTTCGTTTTCATTTTCTTGCATAAATTTAGCGAGAGCGCCGTAGAGTCTACGTTTTATCTTTTAAGAGGTAGAGTATAGAGAGTATGCCCACGTAGGCCGTAGCCCCCCAAGCCCGTACATGCCGTAAATCGATGTAGGTGCGTAGACCCTACTATTCCGGTGCGTACGTCCTCTAGCTTCTCACGGAGGGCCACGCATGACCACATGAGCGTTCGTGTGAAGCTCAAAGATGCTTGGAGACGCTCACCGCCCCGTGTCCACCCCCCGCGAGGCGCGAGGTGCGGCTATCACCAAGACAGGATGCCGATCGGCGGGCCCGGAGCCACCCAGCAGCGTCAGAGCGCCCCCCCGCTCCCTCGCCTCGTCGGCGATCTCTCGCCGGCAGCGGCGCATCAGCTGTGCGTACCACATCGCCTCGCTCCACGCCCGAAAGGTGCGACGCACCAAGTGCGTGTCGCGCCCTCCCGCAAATTGGGCCAGCAGCGGCCGCAGACGCCTCCGCCTCACAACCTCGTGCCGCCACCCGCGAAACGCGGACCCTGCGAGCAAGCGCGTCCACTGCGCAATGGTCCGAAGCGCGACGGCGCACAGCGCGGGCCGCGCAGCCAAGCTACTCCGCGCGCGCTGCAAAGCCGCCTGCTCTGAGCGCCGCGCCGCGCGAGCCAAGGCGGCGTGCGAGCGGAGGGCCCGCACGCAAGAGAGGGCCACGCTCTCGAGCCAAGCGACGCGCAGCTGCGACACTGCGGACCGCACAGCCGTTCCTCGGAGCCAGATGCGCAAGTGACGGCGCTCCGATTCGAGGCGCGCCTTGCTGGCGACGCTCTCGCTCGCTAGCCGCATGCGCCGCCGCAAGCTCACGAACAAACGGAGCAGCGGCCACGAGTGCCGCAAGCGCCGCCGGTCGGTCGCTGCAGCCACGGAAGCGGTTGCGAGCACGACTCTCCGCTTCGCCGCCGCCTGGCGGGTCAGGCGGCGCAAGCCTTGCCGCAGCCGCACCCGCCCCACCCGGCTGCGCGCCATCGCCACCGCGGCGGCCTCGCCTCTCCGCCGCGCCGCCGCGTCGGCCCACGCCACGAACGTGCGCGTCGCGACCGAGTGGCGGCGGCGGGCCTCAACCTCGCTGGCCGCCTCGCGCCGGGCCGAGAGAACCGCGGCGGCGCACGCCCACCGAAGGAGCGAGCCTCGCCGCGCCGCAGAGTCGGCTCGCTCGCGGGCGGACTCGGACGCGGCCAGCCGGCGGGCGGCGCGCCCCAACGTGCAGAGTGCCCGTCGCTGCGCCCGCCAGAGGCGGTCCACGCGCCACCGCCTGCGCGCGAGCGGGTGCGCGAGCGCCCTCGCCCCCCACCTCCGCATTAGCCGCCGCAACGCCGCCTGCTCGAGCCGGCCGGCGAGCGCGGCCAGACGCGGGTGAGACTCGACGCGGCGGCGCCGCCTCCTCGCCTCGGCCAGCGACACCCAGCACGCCCACCCGCGCCGCGCCGCAAAGAGCGCGGCGGCGGCCCGCCGCCTGGCGGACGCGGCGGCGTCGGCGGCGAGGGCGACAGCGCGCCGCCTCGCGGCCTCCTCCCACGCGGCGACTGCTGCGCGGAGCAGCCTCCTCGCCCAGAGGCGGCCGGGGCCCGCCTCCAGGGCTGCACACTGCGCCGCGTGCCGGGCGGCGCCTTCTCGACGGCGGGCAACGCCTCGGGCCAGCCTCGGCCACGCCCGCCGCAGCGCGAGGCAGGACACCGCAGCGGCGGACCGGAGCGCCAGCCTCGCGGCGGCGGACCGGGCGGCAGCTGCAGCGCCGGCGGCGGACCTCAGCCGGCGGAGGCTGGCGCCCTTTGCGAAGAGGTGGGCAGCGGCAAGCCGGCGGCGGGCGGCGCCAAGCGAGGCTGCCGCGGCGCACAGCGCCCACAAGTCGTGCCGGCGGCGGAAGGCGAGGGCCAGGCGCTGCCGCTCGTGCCGCTCGGCGGCCGCGCGCGCCGCCGCGAGCAAGGCGCGCAAGCTGCGCCGGGCGAGCAGCACTGCGCACCGGACCGCAGCCTCCCTCGAGGCGGCGGCGCGGGAGGCCCACCTCGAGACAGCCGCCTTGAGTCGATGCCCGTCGGCGCGGCGGGCCAGCGCCCTGCAGGAGGCGAGCTCGGCGAGAGCGGCCGCCCCCTGCGGCCGAGCCAGCAGCGAGGCGCGGTGCCGCTCGCGCGCGGCTGCCGAGCTGCAGCCGTGGCCGTAGCCTCTCCCGATGCCCTGCACTCGGTGTCTCGCCACCCTCCCGCGCCGCCCGACGCTGCTGCCGCCGCCGCCGCCTCCGCCGCTGCCGCCCCCGAGGCCCTCGCGCTCGAGGTGTCGGACGAGCGAGCGGCACGCGTGTCGGCTGAGCAGCTCAAGCGCGCGGCGAGAACGGAGCTCGCGGATGGCAAGGGCAGCGGCCCACACGTGGCGCGGCGACGGCGAGTGCAGCGCCGCCCAGCGCCAGCGCGACCACAGCGCGTAGAAGCGCTCGAACTCGCACCATCGCAGCAGCGCCGCGGCAGCCTCAGGCGGGCGGCTGGCGGCGTGCCACGCGCGGAGTGCGTGGCGCAGTCTCCTCCGCTGCCCACGCACAGCCAAGCGAAGCACGCCCGCCATAGCCTCGAACCCCATGGCCTCCGACCCGACAGCCGCTTCCGCTGGCCCGCGGCGCGCAGCGACGTGGCGCGCAGCAACGTGGCGTGCAGCCTCGTGGCGCGCGACCCCGTCGAGCGGCCTCCTCGGCCTGGGAGTGACGGCTGCGCTCTCGCGACCAGGCGTCAGAGCGTGGCAGCTGGCCGTCGCATGATTGGCCACCTCGCCTTTTGACAACGTTGTCCTGTACCCTCGGGTGGAGCTTGCAGGCTTTGGTGTCGGCGGCGCTGTGGTCATTGCGCTGCGGCTTCCAGAGGTGCACTGCCTGGGCGTGCTGTGGCACGAGCCATTGCGCGTGGCAGAGCCGTGTGGCAGGCGGCAGGCGGGTGAGCGATCAAACAGCGCAGCGTTGTGTGCCGCGTAAGAGGCGGCTGCCGCGAGCGTGTCGCTCACACGCCTGCGGTTGTCTGCAGTCATTCAGCGGTCGCGTCGTGCTGACCACGACGGTGTGCTCCGCCTCGCACGCAGCTGCACCACGACGGTGTGCTCCGCCTCGCAGCGCTTGTGGTTTGAGCACTCCACACACAACAACAACAACAACGACTACAGTGGGTTGCGGGCATTAAGATTATTGCGGCACGCCGCCGTCTAAGCCTTTCCACAGCCCTCATCCACCCCACGCCGTGGTTTCTTAGCTCCGGCCGGCACTCAGGCCAGAGCCGGCCCCCTAAGGATTTTAGGTAAGAGGTAAGCTGCGGTTTGGCCTGTACGAGGGTTTCCGGCAACCCAGAGGGAAACCAGAGGGTCCCCAGCACTTTGCGTTTCCGGAAGTTTCCAGGGAAACCAGAGGGTGTTTGGTGCTCCATTCTGTTTCTCTCGAGTTTCCCTCGGGAAACTCGCGAGTTTCCCTGAGTCTGAGAGCTGGTCTGGGGCAAAATCTGGGGCAAAATTGAGGAAATCGGCACGATACCCAGGTATTTTCCAGGTATACCGGGGTTTTCCAGGTATACCCGCAAAATACCCGGTATTTTGCCGATTTTGGCCCCAAAACAGCCTCAGGCACGGCTCAGAGCCCCCCCAAAATGACGAATTCCACGGAGTTTCCCCGGGGTTTCCCGAGGAAACTAGAGGGTGTTGTAGGGAAACGAGCAGGAAACACGGAAAGGAAACCAGGTAGGGTGCGAGAGGAAACCCTCGTACAGGCCAAGCTGCGGTCCGCGAGGGCGATGCCAGAGTCTGCCGCCGAGTCGGCTCTCTGGATGACGGGAAGACGCACACACGCCTCCATCTCCACTCCACTCAGAACACCGTAGACTTGGAAAGTGACAAGTGCGCGCGCCGCAGGCGAAGAGAAATTTTGAGCTGGGGCTCCCGTTCACACTCGAGACTCGTGTCTGGCCTTTTCTCGGGGCCGCGCCTGCGGCGCGCCGTGGTTTCTTAGATTTTTGCGGAAATCTCTTGGTAGGGTTTCTTAATGCGACGTTTTCTTAATGCCCGCAACCCACTGTACATGACAACATGACAACAACAACAACAACAACAACAACAACAACAACAACATGTACATGTACATGTCCATGTGCGCTCAAGGGCGAAGGGGGGGACCCCTCGACCGGGGGAGCGTGTGTGTGTGTGTGTGTGTGTGTGTGTGTGTGTGTGTGTGTGTGTGCGTGCGTGTGTGTGTGTGTGTGTGTGTGTGTGTGTGTGTGTGTGTGTGTGTGTGTGTGTGTGTGTGTGTGTGACTCACTCACCAGCCAACAAGCGGAGTTGCGTGGCGACTGAGGTTTTCTTTTTATGCCCTCCGGTCGCGGTTCACCCCTCGGCCACCCTCGGCCACCCCTCGTCCACCCCTCGACAGGGACAGACGGCCATACTCGCATAATGTGGGTAAACGAAAAAAGTAGCGCCCAATTCGTCTACGTACGGCTTAGTGTGTGGTTGGGGTGGCCTCAGGCATCCCCAAGGGAGCCTCTGCGGTGCCACATAAGCAGCTGAGTGATTGTCGAGACTTTAAAGGATTCGTTTGAAGAAACGCAAACAAGACAAACGGTACTATGGTCACCAGTAAACGAAAATTCGACTTTGAGGGATCATATCTCAAAAGGCTGGGTGAGAGCATAGCATTATTGTTGCATATTATACCACATAAGGTCAAACTTGACCCCAGAAGCATCAAGAACCCGATGCTCCGGCTCGACTGTGCCGGCACACTGCCTCCTCACGCCTGCTGCCAGCAGCCGTCGCGGCCCGTGGTGCACCAGAGAGAGAGGTCGACGCGTTGCCCCCGCCGGCGACCCCGCGCGGCTCAGGCCAGCCAGAAGGTGTGTGGTGACGGCACCGTGGCAGGAGTGCGGAGAAGAGCTCGCCGAACGCGAGCAGCAGATGGCCAAAGTGTGCCAGCGCGAGAGCCTCGCGAGCGGGCGCAGAAGGAGCTCGCCGTGACACGATGCCGGGCGGTGGTGGTGCTCTGGCGACTGTGCACAGTGGGCAAAGTCAGGCTGCAACAGGGCAGCACGTTGGTAGTGCCCTGCTGCAGCCTGGCCTGACATGCACAGGGCGAACAGAGGCGGTACTATCGTCCGGCGCTCGTCACCGAATCTGGGCGAACTTCGACCGCCGCCACAGCTCACCACGAGCACGCAGCGACAAAATGTTGACTGTATGGAAGTCGAGGCTGGTCCATAGGAAGAGGCTGCCGTGCGAGCCGGCAGCAGGCTGGCTCGTCGTGGACTGCCGCGGCGACTTTTTTCGGTGTCTTTCTTGATAGTACCGAATACGGTACTTTCGTTTACCCACACTCTGCGAGTAGTCTGCCGAGTCGCTGACGAGCGCGGTGCTCGTGCCGGAGGGGTCGAGATCCATCCTGGCGACCACCGGGGCCCAGCTACGCGGCGCGCTGGCCGCGCGGGGTCTGCCCCAAAAGCTCCATGCACATGTCGAGGTTTAGGTTAGTAGTGTATTAAAATACTGTGAGGCATATCGGTTCCCTGGGAGCCGCTGAGCGCGGTGCAGGGGGCGAGCCCCCGCTGCGCAGCCTCACCGCAGTGCACTGCGCTCTCCGCGCCCCTGACGATTAGTGAGGAGGTGGTGTTGCACAGCATGGAGCTCGGCGAGCGTTTAGCGAGCTTCTCAGAAGGAAAAAATAAAAAAACGACCCTTGATGTTCGCGGCAAATCTGCCCCCATCGGCTTGTGCGTGATATATATGGCTCCTCGTGCCGGGCTCGCGCTGCCCGGGGGCGGCATCTTCTTCTGGTG